AAGACTGTCTGGGGGACAAATAAAAATTTTATTACACATTTGAGACTATAGATGGACTATCTTCATATTGTATTCATTCATTCAATAAATTAATCATTGATTCGACCTCACTTTGATTTATAATGCTGTTCAATAATATCAGTAATTCAGACTTACATATTGGTAATTTGAACGGCATCGGTAGTCTCACCTTTCAAAAACAGTAGGTACTTAAACGGACAATTCCAAATTCACAACCCACAGCGGCTCGGATCATATTAAATACCAATGCTAGAGTCTTGCGTAATATTTTAAATACTAAAAAAAGTGTAGGCATAGTAAAAGTGCCGTTTCATGTAGATTCTAAGATCGGCACGTGGATATTTTTTTATTAGCTAAGCAGTTCATTCAAAAGGAGGCGCCATTTTACCCTCTTCTGCCAAACGTGCGGCAAATAGTTGTAAATTAGAAGGTTGTACAAACAATCACTTACTAATTTTACAATCAGACCTGACTGCACGTCTGTCTAAAGAACTGTTTTTCAAAAGAGAAATGCTGTTAAAAATAAACAACATAAATAATGACTCAGATGCTTTATTGCTGACTCACATATCAAACCGGTGTCCTTGCCTCGTCCTTTGGTTTCTTTACCGGTCTTCGATCCTATGTGGGTTTTTTATCGCTCGTGGATAGTTAGCCGGGCGTAACAATTTAACGGACGTCTGACCTGCCTTAAAATCATTCGGGTGACGTGTACGGAATCATAATAAAAACGCCTTTTGGGGATTGTGTCAGTTTTTCATGCTCACACGACTAATCCTTTAATAATTAGGTTCTTAGGCTTCTTTTTGTTAACGTAAAAAGTTGTGATCATAAATGTTACTTGAATTCTCAGGAAATGCTACTGAACTATTTCTCAACTGCTGCTCGTAACAAAAGTAATAACAATCTCACCTTTTGTGTCGTTGATCTTTTGAAACAGATGTTATTCAACTTAACTCAGACTTCAGACAGTTTATTGCGAAACACCTAAACCTACCTCCTACGTGTTACACCAACGTCTCGAACTCTAGACCGAAATTTAGCATAAGAGGTCTCATACAGGAAAATATCACTCGAACTTTCTACTCATTGAAACTGTAAGTGGAACATTGAACATTGCTGATTCAATTTCGCATGCGTTTTTGTGAACGGTCATTTTATGTGTCAATTATACTGCTATACTATTGTTGAAGGTTCCCCTAATCGGAATTACATCATGAGCATTCCAGTTTAGCGACGGTTAGGTAACAGTTGGCTAGTAGATCGTGACTGCATGAATGGGGTAGTGTGAATAGGCAGGAAGCCATATCGACGAAGTGCAAGGGCGCATCGTGCGTGCACGTACGGCTCGGGCTACGCATTGTATGATGTCATGTGACCGCTTTGGTGTCGATGACCATTGTTTGATAGTCCCATGTAAACATATTTTACTTATATATTTAACTAGCCTATTTATTATTGATTTGTTGTTCTTCAAACCACAGACCAGTGATAAAAAGTAGTAGGTAGGTTAAGTAATTAAAGTTAATTATAATGAATGTTACATGTCACTCCGTTGTCGTTGTTAAATTTTCAACCATAGTTATATGAAATTAGATTTATATTTGCAATGAAACTTTACAAAACAAAAAAGAGCTATCGCCATCGCCCACACTGTACTGGCAAGTTCCGTTTGAAAGAGATAACAGATTTTTTCTATTTAGACTGCATAGTGATATTCCTCGCACAGGATGTTTGATAGACAGAACGTTGTTCTTTCGACATATTTATAGTCACGCACAGGTGAATCTATTTACCATAAACCTTATGTTTTTATTTTTGCTTTTAATAAAAATATATAATACCACGTATTTACGGACGTCCAAGTCGCCGCAGGTAGCCAGACATGCATTTAAGAATTGTAACATCTAATTTTCGCTACAAATCTTATGATTTAAGTACTATGTAACAAGGCAAAATCTAGGCTAATCTATACTACTCGCATTACGCATTTTGCTTCCAACCAGCCAATCGAGAAGTGTTTAGAGACGGCCTACGTTTAGCAGCGAACGTTTCAAAACTGACATGAAAAAATTCCACTGTAGTTTTCTTGACCCCTCAACCAACAAACAAGATAGAACAATAAATAATATTGCTAAATGTGGTAAACACATCCGTCCATTCTTCTCAGATCACCCCTTGTGCTTAGCGCTTGGTCGACTCTCTAATCGATGCCTTGTGAAATGCACAATAATACAATACGATCATTACGTTTTGCACATAACTGCACTTGCCTTTCACTTTAAGATGCCATTTCAATGTCATCTTCAATCCTTATAAGACTAGCTACCCACCTAAATGTCTAAGGTATTCAGTTATTCTGTTTCGTAATTTTTGTTTACGAATAAGCAGTTTCTATCTAGGCATTTGTGTTAGGATTTACGTTTCAGCATTGTATAATTCTTCTATTATACTTAGTTACTTATCTTCATTGCGCTAAATGCCATCAAAGCGTAACGATTATCAAAGGCCAGCACAAAAACAAACAGATGTTTCTTTCACTTTCTTTCATGCATTCAGATAATTTGAAACCTCAGCTTACAATGGTGGCTTACTTTTTTTTATTCTTTAATTACAGGGTCACCATGGAAAAGGTATAATATTCACTAGCACAGAAGAACCTGATAGACCTACGAAGCCTATACCAGACATCCGTTTAGTTGATGGTCCATCCATCCTAGTGGGAAGAGTCCAACTCTTACATCGAGGACAATGGAGATCAGTTTGCACCAACTCCAGAAAGTAAGAAACTTCTCATTAAAATAATGTACTGTATTGCTGGTTATTATAAATTATTATTAACAGAATTATTTTTGCGTTTTAGTTGGACTGTAAACGACATGGAGACAGCTTGCAGACAACTAGGCTTCATGGGAGGATCTTTCTACAACTGGATGGATCGTCAGCCCGGCAGGAGAGCAAGCTGTTATTCGAAGAACCTAAGTGCAAAGGAACTGAATACGACCTGTTCCAATGCGACTGGAACTCTAGAGAACTTGGTTCAGGTGTCTGTGATTACCATCCCGATTTGGCTATCCAATGCTCACCGCACCATGACGTCAATGACCTAGCAAACTCAAGAAGACATTGGAGAGGAATACGCTTTGAAAACGCAGTCTTTGAACGAATCCTCACCGCTGCAAATACTCTATACGTTCCTACATCAATGTCCAAACTTATGCATGTAACTATTAAAAATGCAGGTTTAGGTAGAGGTAACAATGCAACAAGTGCCTTAGACGTAATTGGAGTCCCGCCTGTCTTGGAAGACATAGAAATATCTAATTCGGCATTCAACGCCATAAATGTGACGTCGCCCAACGCTCCCATAGTCATAAACAATTGTACGATACAAAACAATAGAGGGTATGGTGTCTATGTGAACTCTACGTATGGCATGACAAAGATTGAGAATTGCTTGATTCACGACAATGGCGGCGATGGGGTCAAATACGTGGTGCACGAAATGAACATCGATGAAAGGCTAGACAGAAGCGAAATTTTTGATTTATGTACACTAGCATCCACACCGAGCCAGACATTTCCTATTCAAATGTCAATTGAACAATCAAGATATTCTAATATGGAGAGAGACTGCCATCAGAAGTTTTATACAAGACCAGACCACGTTTTAACTTTAAGTTTTATTAAACTTCTAACGAACCGTAACAACACAGGAGAGTTATTTATATACGATGGATTAACGACCGAAGATAAACTTTTATTGTCATTCAATATTCGAAATCACACACGACCGCAAAGTGTTACGTCAACCAGGAACCGCATGTACGTGAGATTCCGAGCGAACACGAGGACAGATATTACTGGGTTTTAAGATTGACATCTGGTATTAGCAAAACGTATGATTTAAATGTGACTGATACCATTATTTCCGATAACAATGGCAGAGGCGTGGCAATCGAAAACTTGAGATCACAAATTCACATTCATCGCACTTCTATTTCCAACAATAATCACGTAGCTGGTCTCCAAGTCGTGAGTGGAGCTGGCGACGTAAATGTAACTGAAAGTAGAATATCTTTCAATCAAGGCGATGGAATAAACATTACCGTAACTGGTGGGAACAGAAACGTATCAAGAAGTATACTAAGTTCTAATCAGGGTTATGGAATAGCTGTATGGATAAACAATACTCTAGAAACTGAATACATTCCAGTTAATCAGACCACAGCTGTCGAATATTCAGAAATATTTAAAAACCTAGATGTAGGAATTTTACATGGAAACTTTTGTGGAGATAGTTGGGTTAATATCACTGGAAATTGGTTTAATACTAGCGCTGAAAGTACTATAGAAATATCCACGTGTTGGAGATTTTACAACCCACTAGATTGCTCAATTTACAAGTAGGTCATAACAGATTTTACGAAAACCAAAGAGTACCACTAAAAATCCAACCGGCACTCAATATAAACGGAAGGATTGAATATAATTATTTCGAACATGGTAATTATGGAGCAATAGTTATATTAAATAGAGTGGAAGGAAATATCTGGAAGAATTTGAAATACTACCAGCACGGTTTGATATACAACATAATTACTTCTTTGGGAATAAGGGCCCCTTTGTAGTGAATCTTGGATTGTCTCCATACAGTGATATTCAATACATTCTGTTTTCGAGGAACTTCCTTCGAGATAATAAAGTTAGAGAACCATTTGAACCTTTAGAAGGTATATCATCAAGGTTGACCCAAGAAGTAGAGTTGCAGCTACGATTGTATTAGCGTCCAGCAACATCGACGTTTACAGAAATATTATCAACAATCCAGAGGCCCAATACGAAATTGGATCGCACGTCGAGACCAAAGTAAAATATTGAACTGCACTTACAACTGGCTTGGATTTGGCGAAGAAGAAAAAGTGTACAACAGATTGTTCCATAGAAAAGACCGATACAACTTAGCTAAGATAATTTACATGCCATATTTGTTACATAGCAGTAACCCTGGAGCTACTCAGATAAATTACAACTCACTCTACGTGCCTCAATTCAATGTACCTGGTACTTTCGTGGTTGGCGGTGAAGTCGAAGGAATAGAAATTCTCCGCCAGGGAGAGTACGATGTAGATAAAGACATCAACATTCGCCCTGGAGGAAAACTGGTTCTACAATCTGGTGTAACGTTAAAATTCCCTCCAGCCATAGGAATTATGGTTGCCGGAAAACTAGATGCTAGAGGCAAACGGCCTAATGATATAACATTTACTCTAAAAGAGGAAGTAGTTATGACTAATGAAAGTGTTTATGAAACAGATTTTGAGCCAACTACGCCAGGTTATACTGAGCCTATTGTGCCTATAAGATTATTAGGTGGTAGAACACAGCATGAAGGTAGGTTGCAAGTGAGGATTGATGATAAATGGGGAACAGTGTGCAATTATAGATGGAACATAATTAATGCAGCCTTGGTTTGCAATCAACTTGGTCTTGCACTCAATCCAGACGATTGGTTCCTGGAACCCAACGAGATTCCATCTGCGGGTATGACCGAAGACATACTTTTATCTAACGTGGAGTGTTCAGAATTCGACAACGATATAACAAAATGTAAAGCAGAAACTAAAGAAAATTTCGAGAATTCTTGCACACACGAAAATGATGTTGGGATCCGGTGTTACGAAACAAGTTGGGCTGGAGTAAGATTCAGTGTTATATCCGAACGAGCAGATTTACAATACGTGACTATAGAGAAAGCTGGACTTTTGGATTATTCGTCGAATATTTTCAAGCCTGCTCTTCAGATAGATTTTGCACGACATAGCTTAGAAAGTATCAAAGTGAATAACAACTACCACGATGGCTTAGGAATACTGTATTCAGATTTGTATGGAGCTGATGCAGTCAATACCGTGCGTAACTCTGAATTTAGTAATAACAGAGGAAGTGGTATAAGTTTTAAACAACTTGGACTAAAAGTATACGGTTCTGTCATTGAAAATAATAACCTAGCAGGTATCTCACATAACCCGCATATTCCTGGTCATCAGCAAAGAGAAATAGCTGGTTGGTTTAATTTAGATCCTGGATTCAACATGGACGAATCTAATTATCATCCGATCATGATTCCAGAGTACGAAACAGACATAAGTCTGATCAATGGTGAAACCAGACACATAGTTTTCACAAAACGTAACGGAGAAAGTGTTTCTAAGACATACAATATCAAATGCAATCCAGGATATGTTCTCGGGCTACAACTTCTAAATCCTATACACAACTTCTCACAGAAAGCATTTGCATATACGATTCCCAAAATATTAACGAAGGTAGTACAAAATGGTGTCTCGATCGTGATCTGTCGACATTCCCTACGACCAGTAGCAGTTTTGGCGTTGTCATAACCTATGAAAGTGGAACGAACGCCTTAGGAGGAGTCGTGCTGGTAGTAAGCACGATTATAGCTCCAGTCCAAAATCTAAGAAACAGAATAGTAAGAGGGCCTGTACCGACCTTACAGGTAGTTAATTCCAAGATAAAAGGAAACACCAAAGGCATTAAAGCATTGTACTACAACCGTTATCTAAACGACTGGGTGACCATTTCTTACGCAAAGCTAACGAAACTATTAAAATATTTAACTGTGAAATAGCTTATAACAAAGAAGAAGCTATCTACGTGAACACACCTTTCTGGGATATACACGAAAGTAACATTACAGAAATAACTATAATGGTCAACAGCAGTTTGATCACCGATAATGGCAGGGGAATATATCACTTCGCTAGAGATTTGAGAAGTTCCAACAACTTGTATCATTATGTTCTACAAGACAATACAATCGAGAGGAATAAACAGGGTGGGTTTGATGTTAGTTTGCCATACGTTTGGCAATACAATGAAAATTTCACCCACTCAGTTTACATGAACAACAACACATGGAGAAGCAACCAAAACTTTGCTTTGATTGTTGATGGTCATTTCGCTGAAGTTAATGTAACTAAAAACATTTTCACTGATAATATGTGCAAAACCGGTTTGATCTCAATACAAGGTATGGAAAAGAAAATGATGATTGATGGTAACTTCATTGAAAGGAACAGTGGACAGTTCATGGTAAAATTCCACATGGACAGTCAAAGCGAGATTATGGGCTTAGTGTACGCTCTATTCATTTACAACCAAGTGAAAAACAATAGACATCTACTTACACAAATTAACAGAGGCGCTTTAATTAGAAATGTGGAACCGACATACGTTATAGGCTTCAAAGGAATACAGAAAGTAAAAGTTAGTAGAAATCTGTTTGGAAACAATGCACTAGAGTACACGTTGTTAGCTGGCATTAAGACTGCAAAGATCAACAATTTATTAGATGTCACTGAGAACTGGTGGGGTAGTACTGAAGAAAAAGTAATCAGGGAACAGATATTCGATTTTGATGATTGGAATAATCACGCTATTGCTACATACCTCCCATATTTGCTTGAAGATAGTATGGATTCTAGTGTCTCAGCTTCATTTAGTCCAGAAATCATCATAGATTCAAATGAGCTCGGAGGTCGTCTACTAACCAACTACACTATCGAATCTCGAATGGCTCCTTACATAGTGAAGGCTGACATAACAGTTATGCCCGATGCTATTTTAACTATAAGTCCCGGTGTTATAATGGAGTTTGCTCCTAATGTTGGTATTCTCGTCATGGGCAACCTTCAAGCTATAGGTCACAGTCAAGCACCAATTGTAATGAGACCTTTAGCTCGCGCTGGCAATGTAGAAGTAAATAGGATAGAAAAGAGAGATGTTGGCCAGTATTCATCAGGTCATCACAAACATAGACGACAATTGGAATCATTGGCTATACCTAACTCTATAAGACTATGTACAGGGAGAAATTGCTCAATCACCGATAATTCAGCAGAAAGAACAAATGAAGGATTTCTTGAATATTACAATAAAACTACTCTACAGTGGGTCCCCATGTGCGATAATCGTTTCACTGAGAGAAACGCTCAAGTTGTGTGCCGAGAGTTGGGTTTCGATCCTATCAATGTGTTCTTTGCACATGACCGACGTGTGGAATATCATAGCAACTCTTTGTCACGAATTTGGTCTTGGCCAGAACCTCTACAGTGTGTAGGAACTGAAGACCGATACGATGATTGCCCAATAAGACTGAACGGCCAACTGTACGGCCATAGACATGAATGTAAATGGGATTCAGAATTCGTGTTCATTCATTGCGGCACAAGAAATCTAGAAGACAATCTTGATTATTGGGGAGGTATTAGATTTGCTAACCCTGAATTCGAATATTCTCTATACGAGCACCGCATCCATGACCATCACACTCATGAGACAATGAAGAAATCTGAAAGCGAACTAATTCACGTGCACATAATTGGTGCCGGTATACTGCACAATGAGAAATCTCCCGCTGTACAAAGTATTATAAAGAATCCAAGCATTCGAAATGTTAATATAACGAAATGTGCTCATCACGGGATTAACTTAATATCACCCACCGATTCGATTAATATGATGTTTAATACCGTGAATGATATATTAGGAGAAGGTGTGAGTGCCATATCGCTGAATGGGGAAGGTAGGGAGTCTGATGAATCTAGTTTTACACCATTGAAGGATTTGAATCTTCCCTATCACCTGTTTTCTCTTATCGATATTTGTGATAGTACCAAAATGGTGACCGTTGAAGAAAGAGTTCTGTTATACTATAAATACGATAACAATCCTGTCAACTGTGTGAAGATATTCAAGAGTATGTTCAGGTAAAACCTTTCGGCTTTAGATTGCTCCAATTTAATCTTTTCAACCACACTCAGAATTATGGCAAAAGAGACTCTCTGTCGTTGTATGACGGTGACATTTACAATATCACGGCGCCTATGATTGGTTACTTGGAGAATGGCTCCCCTGATGAGAAGAAGCTCTTCAAGACAGAAGGTGCCAGCTTGAGTGTGTCGTTGTTCGCTAATGGAGCTTCAGCTGTTCATGGATTTATTGCTGAGATTGTTACTTTGCCGATATCAGCTATTGGGTTCAGTAAGTATTTTGTACATTAACTCTATCTTTTACATACACAAACCAAGCACTTCAACTTTAGTATCCCCTTTGGATCTCTTCTTCTTTTTGCTGTCCGTATCAAGTTACTTGCGATCGACACAATATATAGGTCCTTCACTTGATAATTGTACTAATCTCCCTTCAACGTTTACAGATCGCGATGTCCAGCACAACATATCGAGCAGTGAATTCATAAAGAACAGAGATGGGGCCATCACTTACCAGTCTGTAGGCGAAGTCAATCCTCTAGTAGCCATCACAAGGAATGAGATCATTAACAACTGCCTCAAACTGTATGGGAACTTCACTTCTTGTCCTGCTGCTGTTAGAGTCGATGTGCAGAACACACAGACTCTAGTGTTCAGGGTAAGGAAACTATCTTATAAAATATTATTATACTAGCGGGCCCAACAGACGTTTGCATATCCACTTGAATGTATAAACAAAAATTCATTCAAATTAGTTCAGCTGTTTGGGATAACTACCCTAGACACCGACTGCAGCGCCATCTGCGCGGCCAAGCACGAATAACTATCGCATTCGTAACGTAATAGTATCGAGCGCGTTCGGCGCTCCAGATTGGCCGGCTCTAGTGAACCAACCAATCAGAACGCTTAACTCGCTCGATACTCTTACGATACGAATGCGATAGTTATTCGTGCTTGGCCCTCAGATTTGTGAATCTAAACCATTCCCAGATCCCCTTGAACACACACAAATGAAATTTCATCAAAATCGGTCCATTCGTTTGAGAGAAGTTCAGTGAGATACGCTACACACTCACAGAAGAATTATATATATAAAGATTTGATAATAGTGTCTCATAGGCATAGGATACATGGCGTTTGCTTGAGTAAATTGTTGTCTTTAATAATTACAAGGTCATGCTCACAATTTTGTTCGCGCACTTTGTGCCTAAGTGGCGTATCATTATGTATTTAACATCATCCATAAACCTTTAGATGTCTGGAACATACAAAATTTTAAAAAGGGGGAGTATATTAAATTAAGTAAAATCGCGGGTTACTCACGTGAATATACTGAGAAAAGCTCTACTAGTTTCGAAACAAAGAGGGGTTCTTCTTCATGAGCAGCGTGCGCGGTCGCGGCGACGTCACGCAGCTCACTGACCTCGACCTGAATGACTCACGATAGTTATTATAAAAACAAGGAGTATAATTTATTTTTAGAAGAATTTCAATGAATAATCTTTTAAATGTTTCTTTAACGTTTTTCAGAATAACTTGGTACGCAACAATGTAGGAGGATTGCTAGTTCGGGCAGATTCCCGTGGGTCAGCCACGTCACTTCGTGGATGGATACATAACAACTTGTTCTTCGCTAACCATGACCTTCCATGTCTTAAAGTTGAAGGTATGATAAAATTATAATATATCAAACTTTGACTTAGGATTGTATTTGTTTCAATTTTAATTTTGACAAAATTTGACTACACGGTTGGTGCGGTGGCTTGGCAACCCGCTGCCGTATAACGTGTCGCGGGTTCGATTCCCGCACGGAACAACACTTTGTGTGATCCACAAATTGTTGTTTCAGGTCTGGGTATCATTGTGTATGTGAACTTGTATGTTTGTAAACGCACCCACGACACAGGAGAAAATCCTAACGTAGGGCAACGTTTTTTTTTAAAAAAAATTAAGTCCGGTTATGAAAAAAAGATGATCTCTTTGTTGGCGTCAACAGTGACTCAGTTTCTAATGCCGAGTCGAAAGTGTGTGTCTAAAAAGACTGTGAAATTTTTTTCCATGTGACTCCATTAACGATTTTATTATATCAGGGCGCCAATCATCTCCTTACCAAGAAGTGACAATATACCGCAACTACTTCACCCGCAATCGTGTGCCGTTCAGTGACGTCATCATCCTTCGTCAAGTCGTCTCCAACTTTACATACAACTACGTCCATGATAACACTGGTATGAGGATCCTTGAGGTGTCCGGCTTCGATAAAGTCAGGCTACCTATCTATCAGACCACTTCGCATAATGGATTTTATAAGTAAGTTGTTTCTTATTTTTATGCCTTTTATGTGATATCATCGTCGGAATGGCCATAGCAAAGGTGACGATTAAAACTAACAGAATCAGTGTAGGTTGGAGTACCAACAAGTTAATACTTGGGACCAAAGTTGTTTGCTTTCTCTAATCGAAAGTTATTAGAATAGTTCACTAATGGGATTTCATAAACGCAAATGTACCTATTAATCTAACGATCTGTCTGATCATGTTCTTACGAAGCATTGCACGTGTTCTTGTTTTCCTTTTTTTTGTACTTGATAAGTCGACGTTTGGCCACCATCTCGCCTGGTGGTAAGCGATGATGTGGCCAACGATGGAGCACGCCTACCTATGAGCAACTTATTCACTCGGGACTTGAAGACACCCAAGCTATATTCTATCGAGAAACACAGATTCCTTTGATTGCTGCAACTTCCTGAAAGGTCAAGTTATTAAGCGCGAATACGAGGGAGTTCTTTAATTTGATCCTCGGATCGAACAGAATGGCATTTATTCTAAAACCGATTTCAAAATATTTCAGAAACTACGCTACCGACCGCGAAGGTAGAGCTACTGTGGTAGCAGGAACGGCTGGCCAAAACTACGTAGACAATATCTTCTTCAACCCAGACAATGATTACGAAATGATCACTGTCAATAGATCCATGTAAGTACTTGCTTCAAACTTCTTGACAATATCTTTGGGTCTTAATTGTGATTAATAACTTCTTACACCCAATTTTCCAGTATTTATTACGTACACACAAGGTTTTTTATTCATTTATGCAGCGCAGAATGCAGATAAAGTGTCTTCTTAGAACATTTTCTCTTCTATAGCTAAACAATGTTGCAGTGGTTCATACCATAGTATAAAGAACAAAGTAGGTTATCTTCATACAAATGCTCCGCGCGCGGCTTATATGTGTGCGCCATAGTATCTATGCGTCGACGCACGCACACTTTAACAAAATCTCGACCCGTTTCTCAGTGCGCCAGGCAGGGCTAACACTGCACGAGGTTCGCGCGCGCATCACTTTTCGGCACTGTTGAATATATGAAATAAAAAATGTCTGATAACCGTAGAAGAACGTATTGCTGTGTGTTTGGGTGTCTTAATAATTAATCGATTCCAGAACTGTCTCTGTTCAGATTACCTATTGAACAGGAAAGGTAAGCTAGTCACTTTTTCTAGCATAATATAATTTGTAGGTACTTGATGATGAGATACCTACTTACTTATTCTTACTCTTATCATTCTTCATAGTTCCTACTCAACCAGAAATGTAATTACCTACTATACTTAAATATTGAAAATGTGGTATTGTATTGTTTATTTCACAGTTTATCTGATTTGTTAAGAGCGTGGCCGTGTCGCATTTTTCTATATAAATGTATTCCCAAATTTACTTTCTGAATACTATGTATAGAGCTAAAGTTTATTTTAAGAAGTTAATAATCTTTTTATAAGCTTTTTATTTTTACTAAATTTATAAATTGATAAAATATTCAATCATAATATGCTTTTCATTTCATAAATTTAGATCAAGTGCTGCTTGTTCGAAAATATTAACTAAAAGTAAAAGTGACAACCCTGGGGATCAACGCAAGAGTAGGCTAATAACTCGGCGGGAGGCCTTAGATAACCTACTGTGTTCTTTATACTATGTTCATACGTTCATACTGTCTTAACTCGTCGAGTACCGTCATTATAGACACAATTAAAGAACAATAGGTTGCGGTCACCGGTGACCGCTTGGTGTTTGACAGTTTAAATAGGATTTAATAACAACTACCTACTCACTAAGCTGAATGATCGAAATAGCTCAAGTACCATCTGTAAGTAGGGAACGAATCTCAAGTCACTAGGGGAAGATCTCCAATTAAGGCATTTAATCTGAGAAGAAAGAAGCTCACTTGGTCAACTGTAGGGCTGTAACGGAGCTTGCTTCAAGCAAGGATGGAAAAAGGGGATACTTAAACCATATTATTTATACTTATTTATTTCCCGCATGATGTTCCAGATATATATTAGGTATATACTTATAGTGTTATAAATATAATTACAAGGATATATAATTATCTCGCATGTTTTTGTTGCATGGCTACCCCTGGATCAATAGCTTTGTTGACTATAATCCAACCGTTATGAGGTGAGTTTATCGACAAAATAAATATTCATTCATGACATTATAGCTTCCTAAAATAACTGAATATTGCTTTTTTCACTAACATTGGTTTGGTAATAATTAGATAATAAGATATATCATAACATAACTTGATGTAAAATTAGTGTTCATTTAATATAATACCTACCCATATTAATTGTCCCTATTCTTTCTGGGGTTAAAATCAATGTCTATGCAATGGTTTGGTAACGCAAAATTAATTAACACATGTCAATTTATTAAGTAGGTTTTACTCACGGGAATTTCTATTCAAAACACATCAGTGATCAGTGATCATTAGTAATCACCTATTTTGTGATCTGTACTTTTCTGTCAATTTACTAATAGGCGTACCTATCGTTAAAGCGTTAATGGTGTGTTTTCTAATAGACTAGTAGATAATTAGACATAACCATCGTAAAATACCACAGTCATCACTTGTTCGTGTCTCGCACTGCACCTACTCATCGTCATTCCAACTTTTAGCGCCTGTTTTACCACTTTCATGTACCTGTAAGATGCCAATGGAGCTTGATTGCGTTCTCGTCTGTTATTGGTCGAGATTATTCTGATTATTTTCACGACCAAAGACATGGCGGACCGCGATCCAGCTCCCTTTGAGAGTTCGAAATTCGAACTGTGAAAAAAATTTGTGACAGATAATTTATTTAAAAATTACGTTCCTAATTCATTATCTGGTACATACCGGTTATGCAGTATTTGTGTAACAGGCCGTAAAAGTGACAAACGAGTAATATTTTTTCTTTTTTTTTTCTATAGTTCCCTCGACTTATGGCGGACAAGGATTGACGCAAAGCATAACTTCTGGAGTTACAACGAGACTTTAGCGGTAGCTGGTCGTATCAGAGATCAGAGTGACAACCCCCTTTTATTAGAAGTGGACTATAGACCGTTCTACATGAATAATCAGACGGTTCTCGGAGGAGGGAAGTGTCCTCCGGGATGGGATGCGGTCGCTGGTACTTGTTATATGTACGTTGGGGCGCCGATGACGTATGAAGAAGCGAGATTGTTCTGTTTGGTGAGTGTATTTTTTATAATACTCATAGTATAGAAATACTGAATTTGTTTGTCAAATTTTAACGTATAAAGAACTGAAGTACTGATTTTGGTAAATACTGCTACAGGTACCCAAAATGATTCTAGGCTCTTTCTCCCTCGTTGCATTTGTACCCTTCAAAACGATGAAGGGTATAAATACCACGCAGCGCTGTGTTAAAATGTTTGTAAAAATCGAAATTAATCATGTAAAGACGCTAAAATACACGAGCACTGTTTGTTATCAAAGAAAAATTGAGCTTACCATAAAATTAAATTATTTATAAAGGACGCATTTTTTAGATTTAAAAAAAGTCTATTATCATAAGCAAAAAACAGCAAACAAAGATTCACGTGTTGATAAATACAAATTCGTAACATAAATCAAAATCACACTGAATAGCCTTAATTTGACATGATATAGACAGGTAGACACTTTTTTCATAAACTCCAAAAAACCTTGATCCCAAAACTATAACCGGTTTTTTCGTTAACCCTCTGCGTCAACCCCATTCTTAAGTCAAAATAAAAAAAAATTAACGAATTGAGTAACGTTGGAGTTCCTTGTTTGTTCCCCATGTGAATTTACGTTTTAGAATGAGTCACTGACGGAAATTTATTCTACTTTAATATACCTAAATAAACGTTTTAAACTGTCAAACACCAAGCGGTCACCGGTGACCGCGACCTATTGTTCTTTAATTGTGTCTATAAAACCGGTACTCGACGAGTTAATATAAATTTTGAATATATTTTCTTTACAGTCTGACAACGCTTCAATGCCATACGTGACGGGTAACTACGCGGCTCTATACGAGTTCATCAATCGACAGAACCAATGGTTCCAGTATGGCGACCGAGTCTGGGTCAACCATATTGATTACGTCACCCAGTGCACCTCCTTCGCGTTCTCCAACGTGGAAATCACTGATTGTAATCAGAAGAATGCTTTTATTTGCGAAATTGGTAAGTTCTTATTAAAGTACAACTAGCTTTTACCCGCGGCTTCGCTCGCGTCACAATAGGATAAAAAGCCAATGTGACATACCAATACACACAGCGCCATCTATACCAATACTTTTGTTTTCCCTCGAGAATATTTAATATTTAATACTTATTATTAATATTTAATAAATACCCTATTATTTAATCCGGACTTCTAACTTTACGTCTGCAAAAAATCAAAGCAATCGGTTTAGTAGTTACGGCGTTAAAGTGGAACAAACAAACAAACAAACTCACTTTCCGATTTATAATATAAGTAAGGAATAAGGATACACGACAGGAGCTACGCTATTCTGTAACTCTCGATTCGAATTTTCGAAGTGAGCTCGATCGATTTCTCACCTGTCATTCAACATCAACAGCCTATAAGTGGCCACTGCTGACCAAATGCCTCTTCTCACACGGAGAGGGTTTGAAGCTTTAATTGCCATGCTTGCTTAATGCGGGGTGGCAATTTCAAACTTATGATTAGAAATTATAAGCCCAGGTTTCCTCACGATGTGTTTCTTCACCGTTTGTCAGTGGTGTCTAAATCTTATATCTTATACTCTTATACCTCTATAAAGCGGAAGAGTTTGTTTTTTTGTTTGTTTGTTTGAACGCGCTTATCTCCGTAACTACAAGTCTGATTTAAATAATTATTTTTGTGTTGGATAGCGCATTTATCGAGGATGGCTATAGGCTATAAAACATCACGCTACGACCAATAGGAGCTGAGCAGAGCGTGTGAAACCGCGCGAAAGTAGCTTCGCCCGAAACTTTAAACTTTCTTACATTGAACCTTTATGACTTCTGTGACATGCCCCCGAGAAATGCCACGATTTCAAAACTACACCTTGTATATGAATTTTTTTTTACCTTATACTTACTTCTCTTGTATGAATTGAAGTTTTCATGCTGTATGTTTTGTTTCTAGACCCGAAGATCATGATCGACCCGATGTCCTGGCGCGGGGACACTCTGGCCGTGGCCTTCATCGGAGTGTTGATAGCTGCCGTGTTATTGGTGGGAGCCGCCCTCGTCTGCTGGTATTCCAAGTCTAAGCACAGGTCGGTCATCTTAACTTTATTTTTAATAACTTTAAATGCTTTTTCTCCAACTACACGACCCAGAGGAGAGTAATGTATTCGTGTTTAATATAACGTTATGTTTTTTATATCATTGACCTACCTTTGTAATAGTAATGCTAGGTACGGGACCAAACCTTTATATACACTGGACGTAATTCTAGACTCCAAATACCGGATATCCTTTTCTCTGGCACGGCTACTTTTAAAATATAATTTTGTAAGAATTGTTATAGTATAAATTGAATCTCATTTTCCACAGACACGTCCAAAGATTAGAACGGCGCAACTCGATTCGGCAGTCGTTACATTCAGTTCGGTCCATCGGTAGCATTAATGGTGGATTCCCTGATACACCGTACAGAAGAAAGCTCGCGCAAATGGTAAGAAATCTTTATAAAGTTAAAATAATTAAAATCTTTTTACAGTTAAGTCCGCTTAAGGCCAAATACCCCTTGTCAACGGACAAGGGGTATTTGTATCCTAATTATATTGTAACGTACTGACTTTGTGGTTTTTCCAACAGAGTACCCGCTCCACGGACACATTAACAAAAGGCTCGGACTACAGAAAGATGCTGGCCTCAACCACATCAATGGAATCCATGGAGAAGAGCCAGTTCAATTCCTCACTAGACGACAATCAGAGCTTCGACATCTACGAGGCACACAACCCCAATCCAAACGTGATGCCACTCACACACACCACATTTGTCAAAAAGCCTATAACTCCTGAATACTCAGTACCACAGCAAAATAACAACAGGCCGTACAATTTAGCCTTCAGAAATGAAGGTTATAGAGACAATTCTGGCACAGCCAGTGGAGCTCCCTCAATAAATACGGTAGCTACAGAAGAAATACCAATCTTACACCACCCTGAAGGTCTAAGATCCCCTCCAGATGAGTACACAATATCACCAAGAAGTGATTCTCAGTACTTTACTTCAGATACATTGCCTTTAAGAGATAATTCTGAAGACGGTGATACTTTAAAACGTCAGTTAGAGAGACAAGGCAAGATTTATGGACCTTATGGAGCCCCTGCAGGCAGTTATGGCGCTCCGAAGCTTTCTTTCCTAATGGAGCTAAGGTCCAAAATGCCAGATCAACCGCAAGCGGGGGCGGTGCCTGCTACTACTTTTGGGCAGAGGAATAACGTTGCAGGTATGTTGGTTGTGTTAGAGTTTTACATATTGGTTTGTTTAGGTTTTAATCAACTAAGTTAAGTACAAATCTATAAAATAAAACCAAATCTATGTCGTGAATGTCGATGTCGCCGATCTTGTATCGTCCTGAAATATGTATATTCTTGTTTCGCCACTATTACATGGAACTCTTAGTTTAATAAGCAAAAAGTGACATTTAAAATATGCTACCGTTATGTAGGAGAGACCTGTCCAGCAGTCAACTGCCTTTTTGTGCCTCTTTCTGAGAAATACTTAATTAATACAGTTATTTATATTAGTATGTTAAATTATTCTTTCACTTCCACAGATCAACAGCAATATTACGAGGACAACCTACCAAGTCCGCCGCACCCGCCGGTATACTCCAGCGCATACGACACAACCACCTCAGACAACATTCCCAGCTACGATTCAAGTCCTCACGATCTTTCTAGAGAGTTCGATGATTCGCCATTACCAGAACTACATCATAGGTCCAAGTCTGAAGCGTTATTAGAAACGAACTTCGACTTTGAAGACTCAGAAGCCAGTCCGGTACCGATGTCAGAAGCAAGTCGATCACATAGTCAACCACTAGAAACTGCTATGTAAAAACATGGCCTTAGGTACTAAACTAGAATAAATAAAAGGAGTTGATCACACGTATATCCTATCGTAGAAGTAGAAGCAATGAAAAGACTGACTTTATGATGTCTTAATCGAGATGTTTTTAATTTTTCTTGCATTTAATTTCCACGATTTTTCTCAACGAGTGCCTTTTTAAAACTTTGACATTCCAATCTTTCTACATCGTGAAATCTATTTCGTTTTCGTCCTGCGGCTAAACAACTTGGTATAAGGAGTACTTTCTGTACATAAAGTAAAAATAAACATAACATTTTTTTTTCTAGTTAAAAAATATATATATATCGACTTACTTACTTATGCACTATTCGCATCGCACGTGCCACCCAACGAGAAATACCTATTCAAGAAGTTTTGATAATGTACAATGAGTTCGTATGCGCTTTCGAAGTTTGCTTTTTGCAATGGTTCACCGAAATATTCAAGAAATATTTTTTTTTAATTTCTTATTTATTTTTTTGTAATTTAATAATTTCTTTGTAAAACCATTTTATTACCGAGACAGAACCATTTTACTTCGAGATGAAAACGATATAAATTTCACGGTGTATACTTAATTCTGTCCTGTAGTTTTAGTATAAGTATTAAACGTGTATGTATAAAGTATTTTAAGTCATAATGACTACACAAATTACCAGAGGTGATCGATCTCATAATGAAGTAAAGAAATAAAAAATACTGCGCCTTATAGAGAAATGGATGCCTTATTATTAATATAAGTTTTTATGAAAAAAAGTTAAATGTGCGATGTATAACACAAATAGATGAAGTGATTACCTAAAAGGCGTATATTTTAATTGTAATTAATGATTATGATGCAATATTAGATACGTATTTTTGCACGTCCGTCCTATGTTAAACGTCTTATGAATGGTTTCAACAAATCTTATCGTAATTTAGTTTTAAGAGACAGTCTTTCCATATACAATAGTTATTTTTATAATTATTAACTTTTATAATATTGATGTTAATGTTAAACGTGTATTTATTTTATTTTACGGAGATTTGCTTTTAAATTAACGCGTCCTCCCTCCGTAATATCTCTATTCACAAAGTTCTATATTTTAAGTACTTATACATACCTATAGTAGGTACTATGAGAGTCGCTCAAATTGATTTTATTTCTTTAAATAAATGCGTCAGATTATAGGCAAGTCTCCGATTTACATCACCATGATTTTTTACAGATAATGTAATCTTTTTACAGCTTATTTACTGCCTTATTTTAACGTAAGATAACCTACATGGTAATTTAACATGTATAAAATAAAATGAATGAATGACCTAATGTTCATGCTTTAACTGTAAATTGTACAAGAATAATAGTAAATCGTAATTTAGATTAATAGGTAGGTAGTTGATAATATGACAAATATAATTATGATGGAAATATTATTAATAAAATTTCACACAGTATTTTCATAGGACATGTTTTATTTTATTCTAAACCCGAGATGGTCCGAGACGTACGAACTAATGACAGTGCCATTTTGTCTTTTCGAAAATTTTCAGTAAGCTTCGATTCGACTCGGAATTTAAACTATAGCAATAGGTTCACATTCTACAATCGACTTATACTAATGAACATGCCTTAGATATGAGAATTGTGGCACTCCGAAAGAAAGAGAGGAAACGAATTTTCGGTGTATCTTTATCTCTCTCAAAATAGGACGTTATGAGCGAGAAAAAGATAGCACTAGACCGAAAGCATAGGCCATCTCTCTCACTCTTTTCAATCTAAAAAATTACTGCAGATTATACGCGTACGGTATGTCCATCAGTATATGTCGATGCCTCCTACTACTAGGTAGTAGGCATAAGAACCCCATCACACTAGCATTTGTACAGAGCATAGGCGTTCGATAAACGTATGTGCCACGCAGACGCCGCTACGTTTCTCGAAAGTATACGCTGGACAAACGCTAGTGTAAATGAGCTCTAAGAAATGGGACGGTACTCAAGTCACTGGTAAAAAATGAGTCTTAGATATATTGGATACGTGTAACTCAGGGCACCTATGCCTACTCCTTCGGGAATACGGAGGCGTGACGTTACGTCATGCTAAAGTCGTTACTACTTCCAATACTTATGTCCTGTTATTTTATGTAGAGCTGGCTTTCCTTTTTTACATTTTTTTTGTCAAATATGATCGACAAAATTAAATTACTTACTGATACAATTAGTACTTTCTTATACAAAGTCTGGTACTGAGTTTTTAGTTTGATAGAGTCGGCCTGATAAAGGCCAATCAATACATTTTGACTCTACAACTGTACAAGTTACATTTGAAGTTCCATTGGATATTATTTATTTCTCAATGCTCAATAGTGGACTCTACTTGTAGAGCTGCAACTGGCTATAAGCTACGTTCGAAGTTCCATTGGAGATTATTTATTGATCCTATAATTCATGTTACAATAGAATTTGGATATTTAACAATAAATTAAATAAAAACAAAATTATGTTCATTTTGCGGTTTTGGTCACTCATCCATCAACGTTCACACAACCAATCATCGCGTTCCGTTCACAGTGGTTCACAGCTTTAGTTTGTCTGTGGTCTGGTTTGACGTAAACACAAATAAATGAACGTCCAACACTATCCAATCATCAATCGCTTTGATTCGCTGAATTTTTGACGCATTGTGTTGTTGACAGAGTTGACAGCTGGCCGAGGCCGATGGCTGGCTGATAGTCAATATTTCGATCGAACGAAACACTGTGCGACGTAAAAAATAGAAATCAAAAACATAGTCCAAAAATTTAATTCGATAGGCATAAGTGCAATGTGACTTTAAATACATATTAACGACATTTTTCTACGCAACAATACGGTACGTAACAGTAAAATAAACCAAAATATTGGAGACGTTTGTTGCGAATTTTTTGGCGTAATATTTCGACTGATTGGTGGTCAAGATGGATACGACAGGGTCTATTAACACTGAGGCTTTAGATGCCATTGAAAATGAGGAGGAGGTTATTGACGATTCGGAGGAGAGGGAACTGGTGACTGACTCATGTTCAACAAAGGTTTTGAGCACAGGAGAGCAGCCTAAAGACAATTACAGCATTGTTTATATACTCTTTTATTTATTTGGAATCACTTCGCTTGTGCCCTGGAATTTTGTCATAACAGCCAATGATGTAAGTAGACTAGATTTTTAAATTTTTTATTCTATGTAACACCTGTGTCTAAAGGAAACGACCTTCACACTATTTTTACCACCTCATTCGATAGATGACCTTTTTATTATCTGCAAATGAGTCTAATACTAATTTGTATTTAGAATTGGATTATTCATTTAGTCTTTTGTAAAACTTTATAAAAATGTAGAGTCAACAACTCTATTTCAAGTGACTCTATATTTATATTTTTGTAATTGTATCTAGTTTAATTAATTTTTACCAATATTAACTATATAATAATCGATTAATTTAACTAACTCTTTCCAAAATGTTACTATTTAATATTGATTTTAGTATTGGATGTATAAATTTCGGGAAGTCAAACCGAATAATCTCACGATGGTGGTGCGTAAGACGGAGTTCCAGGCGGAATTCACTTCATTCCTCAACATGGCCACCGCTGTTCCTAACTTAGCATTTCTACTCCTCAACTCTCTATATGGGCATTTGTAAGTATCACTATTTCTTTATAAGCCCCAACTAACATGATACATGCTAAAGTAAGTTTATCTATTACCTCTCTATTAGTCTCTATGCTCAATCTACTCAACCAAACTAATTCAAATCCTGTTTGTTTTACTGCATAACAATTAAACAGTTGAAGGGATTGGGATGAAATTTGGGACAGTGTTATTTCAGACCACAATGGTAGAATAAGGTAGAACACTCAGGCTACTCTTCATCCCACCCAAATGTGGGTAGCAAATCTTATATCTTATACTATTATATAAAGCCGAAGAGTTTGTTTTTTGTTTGTTTGTTTGAACGCGCTAATCTCCGTAACTACAAGTCTGATTTGAATAATTCTTTTTGTGTTGGATAGTGCATTTATCGAGGATAGCTATAGGCTATAAACATCACGCTATGTCAAATAGGAGCTGAGCAGAACGTGTGAAACCGCGCGGAAGTAACTAGTTTTATATAAACTTATTTGGGACTGTGTAAAGACTAGTTAGATAATAAGTTCCTGTCATTACAGATAATCCAACTTACGATAGTAATCTCAGTTATCTTATTTGATAATGTACTATTATTTTCTTTTACAGTCTTTACCTAATTACCTACAAGATTTGCCTACAATATGCTAATTGTATGCATAGTTAATGAATGCAGAAAAACTATAATAGCCATTTCTTATTTGTTTTATGTTTATATACCAATTAGTGTCACTTAGCAAATTGTTATTTACTCTTCACACTTACGTTAAAGCAATGATTAGTCATTGCTTTAACATAAGTGTTATTTAAAAGATTAATTTGCTTTATCTCATAAGGGAAAGATTATCTTAGTCTGGAAATTTTATATTAAGCAGTTTCGGGAGCAATAAATCAATCTACCTAGGTATCAATTAAAGAAAATGCTGTTTACTAAAAAAAACATTGAGCAAAGCTTGGTCATCCAGATACTACTATTTATGGTCAAATTATCTATGATGTTGTCATGAGTCTTGGTACTTAACTCTAGCTACTTGCAGTCACCATGTCTTTGTATTCTATTGTTAAGTCCCATTGTCATAAATAATCCCCTATTGTTATTTATTTTAGGGTGGATGGCCATAAAAATGCTATTGAAATTTGTACTTTGATTGCATTGTGTAGAAATTGAATTTGAATGAGATGGAAGCCATGATTTTGTAGTAGATTATTAGTAGATAACATACCTAGTTCTTTAAGGTTTTTTTTATTCTGAGAACAAAGAAAATAAATGAGATGATGCTTTAGTTATAGTTAGTTGAATTCTAGTTTGGTCTTGGTCTAGCTTTATTATTATTATTAAACATTTTCACTTTTATTCTTAACTTTATGTCGCGGAGAACCTAATGGGTAACCAGGGCTCCGGCTCGACGTGCAGAAGGAACGGGGTGGTATTTAGTCAGTAAGAGTCTGACACCCTCCCGCGTCTCCCAGGCGGGAGCAGTCATTCGATGATTTTCCCCCCTTAAAAAAAAATTCTTAACTTTATCCCTGGGGAATGAAGACTTGGTCTAAATATTTTTTGTCCTAACACTAGCAAAATTCATCAAAATTTGTCCAGTATATTAAGTCTCATTCTTCATAAGTTACTTAGTTACATTACTTTCACATATTTTGATATTAAGTTCCATTTATCATCTCAATAATTAGATAACAGTGACATTAACATTTTTCAAGAGAAGATTAAGCTTGGTTGCCTTACATGCAGCAGTAAATGGGAATAGTTGATGATGATAAAATTTTTTTTCAGAGTACCAATGAAAGCAAAATTGCAAGGGTCACTGGTGATAGTGACTTTATGTTTCCTGGTGACGACTGCATTTGTCCAGGTGGATACGGATGAATGGCAGCTGACATTCCTTATCATCACCATCGCTACTGTCTTTGTGATGTCTGGTGAGTAACTATTGCTGGTTTTTCAAAAGTGAATTTTCCTTGAACACTAGTGGCCCATCCAAGTTGGCCCCGCTCCCTTAGAATTTAAAAAAGTGGAACTCAAATGTAGACTTGTGAGTTTGTCTACCTACATTATACATAGCTTAGGAAAAAAGACGCTTGATTTTTTTATGACATAAGCCGGTAAACGAGCTGACGGATCACCTGATGGTAAGCAATCGGCGTCGCCCATGGACACCTGGAACACCAGAGGCGTTACAAGTGCGTCACCGGCTGTTTGGGGATTAGGAGTTTGAGGATCGTTGGGGATTGAGGGATTGATAAGAAAGAGTTTGCATCGTGAATCCCAAATAATGGGAATTTCACAATATCACTAGCAAAGAGTAGTTCCAACTGGCCCATAGTTGAAACACCTACTTACGTAGTAAAATTGTAAACCATATGTTTTATTTGAAAGGAGGTACCATGCCCAGTAGGGCTTGCCCTTCGGATAGGCAAGATGGGAGGATGTGTATATGATCTAGCAATGTTCCATTACTCATCTGGATCAAGTACCTTATTAAAAATGTATCAAAGTCAAAATAATTTATTTCAATTAGACCAAAAATATACTTTTGTATGACCAACAGAAAATTTAAAAGTAACTATTTTTATCACTGTCTTTTGTCCCTATAAGTACAAGTTTGCTATCAAACTTAAGCTATTACTAAGTGTATACAATTTATTGCTTATCAATATGTAAATAAGACTTAATTATGCAGATGTGCATTTGACCCGATAGCTGATGTTTTGATAGTGTTTGTCTTAGTAATCTGGGTCATGTTGCATATTCCTGTTTTCTTTGTAATAGTACCTAATCGGTCTTATTACAATCTTTTATTTATGGTATCTAAATAGGGTAGATGGCTACTTTTTTATTTTAAAGTGTCCGTCTGGTAGATTATTTAAAAACATTATCTAGTCACGTATTTTTAATTTTTTACGGTAACGAATAGTTTCTTCAAATAGTTTTTAATTTGAAATGTCGCGTGACGTCACTTCTATGTAAATTTTATACGTAAAAATGACGTGTTAGCCCCTACTCCTAAACTTTGATTCGTTATATCTAAGTATCATTTTATTATACAACAAAATAAAAAAATACGTGTCTAATATTTTTTCATTACCTAACTGACGGACTAATTAAATTTTTAATTTTCAAACCCTGTCATCGTCCCTATTACATGTAGGTACATAATATATTTTGCCTGTATGACTACTAAATTGAACTGAAAATTGCCTGTTAGGCAGTTACTTTTATCGACTCTAGCCACAAGAGTTTACCTTTATTAAATACAAATATGGGCAGCCAGTTTTCTACTGTATTCTATTTATGTAAATACATACTCTCAAGTCTCAACTTACTTTCCATAGTACAACTGGCAGCAGCGCTTAGCTCAGTCACTGTGAGTTGCGCCAATAATACTGTAATTCAACAAGTATTTATGAATGAAAACAGGACAATCAAAATTCTACTCAGCCATAGTCTTATTACTCTGAATAGTGAATAAGCCTTTGCATAATTGTAATTCTTGTATAGATACTAGATTTTTATATGGTATTGGTGTTTGTGACCACAGTAGACTCATAAAGTCATAACATGATATCATGGTGAGTCATTCTGGAACACAGCTAGCTTTGCTTGACATAGGTACCTTTATGTTGTTAACAAGCATACTCAATATTCAATTTGAATTAACTTTTATCTCATGGACATGGGATGAATGAGCCGCATGAGCCGGCTCATTGCTCAATCGTAGTAATCATAGACAATCAATGCGAAACAATTTCGCATTTTTTTAATTTTTTTATTTATTTTTTTTTAAGGGGGGAAAATCATTGCTTTGTGTTTCGCGTTGAGTGATAAGCACGGGTGATAAGCCTCGTTACTGACTGCCTCGTTGGCCGAGGGTTCGCAAGTTTGACTGCCAGCCAAGGGGTCTCGGGTTCGATTCCCGAGTCAGGCAAATAAATACTGAGTTTAAAAAAATCTCAGTAGTAGCACGAAGTTTGGAATTGTACCCAGTATATGGAAATAGGCTCACGCTCTATTACATGAGACTCATAACATAAATCGTGAAAAGTGAGTGTTACATTGTACAGTGACATTCATTACTGTAATCCCTTCGGGGATAAAAGGCGTGATGTTATTATAAGGTTACTGGTGGAGGTCTGTTATCTCCCACATTCCACGTCTAGACCTGTTGGCAACACACTTATAACCCTTCTGGTGTTGCGGATGTTCATGAGCGGTGCTGATTTACCATCAGGAGATATTTCCAATAAAAAATAGGGTTATGTTAGCCTAATCGACCTGATATTGTCAATTGCTGGACGTAGGCCTTTTCAAAGTCAAAGTCAAAGCATTTATTTCAATTAAACTATAATTTAGTACTTTTGAAACGTCAACAAATACAAAATAAATAATAGTCTGTCAGTCAGTCCGTCAGTGAAGCTAGGTGAAGCTAGGTGCTCGTTCAAAAATGTAGATTCGAATGGAGAAGAACGAGCAAGAAACTCCAATCATTACTGTTTTTAAAAAAGTATGTTCTACAATGTCTCTGATACATATTCCAATGCTGTACGTATATGTGAGAACAATGCAAAGCCTCTCCAATAGAAAGTTACTGAGCTCAATATTTAACTCATAATATCCAAATATTTAATGAATTCCCATTAAAATAAAAATAAACAGACATTTCAACCGTATTTAACAGTGTGATGATTACAATATCATAATTAATCAATAATCACAAGGCATCCGTAATTTGTGGATTTCTTGATAAGTAGGTATCTATTGATCAGTTGATCATGACTTGGAAGTGTTTTTATACGGATAATCAATTTGATAAGGGTCGATTATGGACAGACAAGCATTATTTTGAACATGAATTACTGAAGATACATTGTTATTGTACAATTATCAAACTTGTCAATAGTCAAGGAGGAAAATTTATAGCAGTGATTATAACTGTACTGGATTGCTGTTAATAAGAATTTCTATAGGTACCTAATAATAGGCTACACTTTGGAACGAGCGCCTAGCTTCACTGACAGACAGACAGATGGGCGGACAATTGGGTAGTCTCCAGGGTATCAAAATAAAAATCTAATTAGTCCGTCAGTTAGATAATAAAAAAATATTAGATACGTATTTGTTTATTTTCTTGTAATAAGTTGCAATACTTAGATAAAATGGCGCTAAGTTTACGCCGTTACGTCATAACGTGCTACAAAATGCACACTGCAGGCACACTGTGACGTCACACGATATTTCAAATTAATATTGTCGAAAGTGTTATGTATACTATTACTCGTAATATAAAGAATGCACAATTTAGTAATGTAGTTTTATTTATTAGGAACAAGATACATGTAATTATAAACGAGTTAAGAGTAATAATCTTAGTATGCAATTCCGTTCGTGACATAAGACCCAACAGAATGTTTCTCTCATATCCCCATAGGTGGCGCACTGATTACGTTCAGAAACGTTCATCGTTCAGAAACATTCTAACAGTCTCCCCTGCGTTAACTATTCCTTGCGTTATAGGTTCAGTCGATTTGGCTCCCTCCTTATTCTCTGAGAGCGACGTGGTACTGTCTCCTGGGGTGTTTCTGCTGTCTTATGTGGTAGTGTGAGTTCCACCGGTTCTGGCTCTCTATGCTGGTCGGTCAACTGTTGCTCCTTCGTAGGACTTTTGGACTCATTCCGTTTCGCGGGGCTTTGTACCGGGGGTATCTCTGTCGTTTTAACTGGATCCGGTTGTCCATTCTTCTTTGCCTCTAGTTGGCCTTCAGGTTGGTTTTCCGTAGGTATGATATCTTGGTGACTCTTATGGTGAATTCGATAAGTCTCTGGTTCCGCATTATTAGTCATGCATGAAGTTTTTATAATTTGGTCCACATGTCTTTGGTGAATTCTTCCGTCTACCTCCACTTCATAGTTAAGTTTTCCTTTTCTGCTTCTAATTTTTCCAAATTTCCATTTATTACTGTCATACATTCTAATTTGTACTTTGTCTCCTGTGTTGAACTCTTTGTTTACTATTAACTCTTCATTGTTGCTCCGTTGCCTGTCTTCCCTTTTTACTAAATCAATCCTTGTTCTATACAATCTTTTAAACATCATCTCTGCCGGGCTTAGACCCGTGGCATTGTTTGGTGTCTTCCTATACATCATCAGGAACTTTTGAATTTTCTCTTGTAGGGGCCCTTCTTCATTAGCCATAGCTTTTAGTTTCTTTTTAAATGATTGAACATATCTTTCTGCCTGCCCATTAGTAGAAGGATGAAATGGTGCAGTAAATTTAGCTTGAATACCATTTCCTCTCAAGAAACTTTGCATTTCTTCTGATCGAAATTGTTTACCATTGTCAGATACCTGAGTAACTGGTAACCCAAATGTAGTATAAAGTTTCTTTAGAATGTTTACTGTAGCGGTAGATGTGATTGAGGTAGTTGGAATGACTTCAAGCCATTTTGTGTAAGCATCTACAACAATAAGGAAATATTGATTCATAAATGGTCCGGCATAATCAATATGAATACGGCTCCATGGTTCTTTAGGATATTCCCAACTGTGTACTGGTACTTTTACAGGGTTCTTCTGTTGTAGACAACATCTCTTACACTGTTTTACCATTTCCTCTATATCTGAGTCAATATTCTTCCACCACACATAGCTTCTAGCTAATGCCTTCATTTTCACAATGCCAGTATGGGCTGTATGCAACTCATCTAAGATTTTTCGCTGTAATTCCTTGGGTATAACTATTCTTATTCCATAAAAAATGCAGTTGTTTTGCAGTGAGAATTCGTGAAGTCTCTTCGGGTCGCTTCTGCCTGATTGGATCTCCAAGTAAAGTTTTTGTAAGTCAGGGTCTTTCATTGTAGCCTTCCTAATTTCTTGTAGTGTTATTGGCATTTCTGATATTTGATTTAGGTAGAATGCGTCATCA